ATATATATATATATATATATATATATATATATATATATATATATATGAGTGACATAATATAATCACCAGGCAGTAAAAGAAATTAAGAATTGACATATGAATGTTCTATAACAAACATTGAAGGTGAGATGAAAGTTGACTCCACTCTCTTGTAGATGGGTTGTAGATCAAAACTCATGTTATATTCACTTTCTGGTTAGTCACATCAGAAATTTATTGATGTCATTTCTAACAGATACAGAACATGTGCTCTGAAGTGGCATCCAGATCGACACCAAGGTTCATCAAAGGTAAAGATTTGGCATTGCTTTTTTCTCTAGTTTGGAAGTACTTGGTTTGAACGATGATCGGCCACATAATGTTGCTAGTGAGTAGGATATGTTTTAAAGGCATTGAGCACCTCAGCATGTATTTCCTACTGCATGTTTCTTGTTATAAGGGTTATTTCATGTGACGACATCATTGTTGTCTATGTTTCCAGTCAATCAGTCAGTGATCCCTAAGATGAGCCTATTACATGCTATGGACCTTTATCATTTTCATCCCAAAATAAGTTTGATCTATTAATAAGCAACCTGAAAAGGGATTATGATTCTCATTAGATCAATGAAGAACTGAGTGTGCTCTCTAGAGTAAAGATACTGATGATAAACTGCTATGTTAAATACTGGGTTTTAGAATTTGACAGATCCTGACAGATTTAAATTCAATTTGATAATTTCAAACACCAATTTCTGTGTCAAGGTGATCCTGGGCCAAGAATCATCCAAGATCATGTTGATATGTGCTCAAGGATTAGACGGGATCAGGCAGGGATGATTTAACCTATTCCTATCTGGTACTGCTAATATTGATTAATCATTGTTATTTTAGTGATTTTAATCATTTCTTGCCTGCTTTTGGATCTATTATGACATGTTGTGACAGATTTTGGCACATTTTGATGCTATCTTGGGTGACATCATATTCTGTTGAACCATGTTGGTCCCAATTATTCCAAGCAATCTTTGGAGGATCCTCCAATTATCCAGTTCGGCCAATCTTGTCAATCCATTTGATCCCTATTTGAGAGTTGAACTCCAATCCTGATCTCAATCTGCTCTTTTTAGCTTTTATTTGAAAGAGCAACTGAGCAAGTGAAGTCTGAAATCTGAGATTGCTTACTGTTGTCTCATAATCTCATCAACGTTCCTTTTTTCACTTTTATTGAGCTTGTGGATTTACGGGCTCAAACAGTGCCATTAGATGTTACATTGAACTGGTAAATGCAATTGATATCAAGAATAAACTTTGTTGCAAGGCAAATTGGCTTTAAAACAGGGTTGATTCTTACCCTGCTCTTGCAGAGCGTTTTTTTTTTCTTTACCTCGTTGACTTTCCAGCACTTGGCAAGCATCATCTTATGGAGAACTATGTTTTTCATGAACAGTCGCCCGGGTGGAATCTCCAATAGGGTTACATTTGAGTTTTTGACTCTCGGGATGATATTTCTATTTTCTTTAACATGTTTGCAAGTTTTTGCAGCCATTTTTTCATGTTTATAACATGGTATTGAAACTTTTCTTCGATTAATGAACAGGAAGCAGCAGAGGAGAAATTCAAGCATTGCAGTGCAGCATACAAGACATTATGCAATAAGCTAGCTATCGGTGAATGTAGCGTTAGATCATGCTAATTAAGCTGGTTCATCAGTGCTGTTGTATCAATGAGTAGGCTTTACAGAATTCATTTGTTTTTGGAATAATTTGAGCATCCAGATCAAAAGTGTCAGAGATACAGAATGCAACTATTATGACAATTCTCAGCATCACACATCATCTCGGCATCTGCAGAGTCTTTTAGAAAGAAAGTTTCTTGATCTTGGCATTAGGAAAAATTGTTAGAAGAAAAGCTCCATCTTCCACAATATTTCTTTGGTAACACTTTCTAAGTGTTGGTCTTATATGTCTGTCTATTTTAAATGGAAATAACATGATTCATAAGACAGCCATGTTTATCTATTTCATCTCACACATGAATATTTGTTTTTATGTAATATATTGGATTCTCGGTTTGAGCCATTATCTTTCTTGAATTAAAACAAGAAGATGCATGATAGAATCTATACAAGTTCATACACATGAATATTTTCATGATATGGTTAAAGTCTTATCGCTAATCTTTACATGTATAAGCATGATGTTTACAAGAGAGGGATCATCTTTGGCTCTTTATTTCGTATTAATTTTCTTTTACTCTCTAATCATTGTAGTCTTATTAGAGTCTCACTTAATGATAGATCTTATTTGACGTCCATGAAGAGGCCTTGTTGTTCCAACTAGAGAAATTGTATAAGGTCATATTTAGTCTCACATTGATTTAAAAAGTAGAGTTTACATCGGCAAACCTTTCGTCGGCAAACCTTTCGGCCGTGATGGATGTCAACGCTCACGGACCTGGTTTCCAATTAATATTAGATTGGCACATTGGTGAACCAAAGAACTTTGCTTCCTACTTTGGCACGGTAGCCACCAATTCAAGGGAGGCACGAAAGTATCGATCCCAACACTATTTCCCCATTATCCTAATCCCTTCAAGGCAGCCACCAATTCAAGGCAGGCCATCATCCTTTTTGCCATGCAAACTCAGAAGACACCAAGCTCGCGTTTGACTCTTAATCTTACTCTTCCGAAGAAGTTTGTCCATTTATGGGCTCCACGGCTAAATTAAGATTTAGATTACTTTTATCATGATTACATGGAACTAAAGTTAGTATGAGATTTCGAGAGGGTCGGTCGATGTATATCATAAAGATGTAGCATACTTTAGCACGATGTAAAAGGAATGATCCAATTTCTAAAGTTGATACTAATACGAGATCTTGAGAGGGCCAATGTGTATCCATCTTAATAACTTATGAACTTAATGATTTAATTAAATCTATTATATTATTATGATATTCTTATTAGTAAGGAATTCGTTTAGATATAAGATGCATTTGGACAAAACTCGCTTGATAAATCGTTTCGCTATATTATTAAAAAAATAACAATATTATAGCAATACTAATTAGAATATTAATCATATATGAAACACAAACAAAATTCATAATTTTACTTAATATTAAAATAATAATAATAATAATAATAATAATAATAATAATAATAATAAACATAAAATGATCACGAATGAAATTAAATATTTATACTGATATATGTTCGTTATGATATTGATCATAGTAATAATAATAATATTATTATTATTAATGATAATGATAATAATAATTTGATGATGATAAGGATATGATTTTTTTCTAAGCAAACTAAAAATTATAGTGAAAAATGTCTAAGTGGGGATAAGATAGTAAACCCAAAAAAGGAGGGAAAGGCACCCAAAGATGGATTGAGGGAAAGGAAAAGGATCCAGCCCAGCCGATCATGTTTCGCCACGTGGATACCTGGGGAGGCGCCAAAGGTCGTGCTGCGTCACATGCTTGACGATGCGTGCCTTTGGTATCGGTTCTCCTCGCCAGCTTTTGGTATTCCTCACCGAAACGTCATCTGTATATTTCTTAATAATAATAAAAAAAAGAATCATCTGAAATTATAATATATTTTGATAATCTATAAATTTCAATATCAATCATGTCTATCGTCTGTCGTTTATTTTAATTCATAAATCTTGATTTTGTTACTCGTAACAAATATATACATACATACATATATAACATATAACATAATACAAACATTTCTACCAAAATAGTAATTTGCTGAAGTAAACTTTTCTTGATTTACATATTATAATAAGTTCAAATTGGGAAATCTAATAACACAAAAAAAGATTAGGATTTAATTTAAATTTGTTGCAGAGCCAAAAGGATTACCAAAAATGTCTCAATAATACAGAAAATTAGTGAAAATGTTTTCTCACTAATTTATTAGGTGGTCGAATTCGATCAGATTGATGATAATACTTGATATAAATGTTAGTTAAATTCGAGAAGTCAGATGGCGCAAATTAGAAATTCAAGTGATTCAACTAAAAATTGTTCCACTGTTGAAGGAATAATCCAAAATTTACTAATAATCGGCGATAATTAGTTAAGGTGTAAGTCCAATCCTTGATGATTTGGAAGCTCATGAATCCCATTAATCGGCGTCCTCCAATAGAAAGACGCCACGTTACCGCCGCAGGCTTTATTATTGGCGAGGGAGAAGAGAAAGAAGCCGCCATGTTTATATGTCACCGTTCATGGAATCCATGCAGAGAAAAGGAAGCAAACGCAAGATATAGCCCTCGAGCTTCTCCTGGACGCCGACAGGAATCTAACCAACCCAATAGCATTTGAGACAACTCAGATCACATCCCACTATAAAGCTTACCCACCACCTCCCCTTCCCCCCCTCTCTCTGCCCCATCGAGGTCTCGATCAAGATCTCCAACATATCTACGTATCTAACTGTTAGATTATAGCTTTTGTACATCTATTCTGAGTTCTTTTGGGATGAAAAAGGCCTTCGTCTACCTTCTTGTCGTTGTTTCAGGGAGTCAGAATTAGCTGAGAAGACGATGGCGCCGGTGAGCTTGCCTCCTGGTTTCCGGTTTCATCCCACCGACGAAGAGCTCATCGTTTACTACCTAAAAAGGAAGATTAATGGACGCATGATTGAGCTGGAGATCATTCCTGAGGTCGATCTCTACAAATGCGAGCCATGGGATTTACCAGGTACAAATATCTGGTTCCTTCCCGTTGTTCTTGAGAGTTCATGTTTCTTACTGAGATCAATCCTATGATTGATCGTCGAACTCCTCCATGTTAGAGATTTGCTTGACAAGCAAGCTGTTCAAGAAATGGATGGTCTCTGGGGCATCTCCTCAGCTGCACTTCATCCACCTGCATGCGATTCCTAGGTTGCTTCTCGAAGAGACCTTTCCCCATTCCCAGCCATGTAATACTCCATCATAACAAGATTCTGGGTTAGATTTGATGATCTTATACGTATATTTATCATTTAGCTTTCCTCAAAACAAAGTAGGTTAGGTTTTCACCTTCTTAAAGATAAAGAAGAACACTTTGTTCAAAGCCTATGGTAAAAACCTAGAGACCGAAAGTAACCTTGTGAGTATGATACTTATTTTCTGGACATAAAGTTAAAGGTTACTCGTACTTACTTTAAGATGAGATGAGATGAGACGATCAACCTCGTCCGCTCACTACATCTCCTATCTCCTTCACCTATGTTGCTTTAGATTTCCTTGTTCGGAAGGATACCATGCATGGATATTGTAATCATGTAGAAACCTCTCGATTAATTCACTCGAGTCAGAAGGTCAACAAGAGAGAACATTGCAAATTTAATGCCCGCCATTCCATCTCAGAGAAATCCTTTCTGCCAAGCAAGGATCTGGAGTGGTACTTCTTCAGCCCGCGGGATCGCAAGTACCCCAATGGATCGAGGACCAACCGAGCAACTCAGGCCGGGTATTGGAAAGCCACGGGGAAGGATCGTAAGGTGAACTCGCAGAGGCGCGCGGTGGGGATGAAGAAGACCCTCGTCTTCTACGGCGGACGAGCGCCGCATGGCTCTCGTACCGATTGGGTCATGCATGAGTACCGCCTCGACGAGAAGGAATGCGAGAACGCCGCTTCAGGCTTACAGGTATGTGTATATATAATACGTTACAGTATCAATCCACCGATCTCTCATTCTTCTATCCTTCTTCTTCTTCTTCTTCTTCTTGTCTAACACTTCGTGGATTAAGGACGCATACGCTCTGTGCCGAGTGTTCAAGAAGACTGCGCCAGGCCCCAAGATCATCGAGCAATACGGTGCTCCTTACCAAGCTCATTCACAGTGGATCGATGGAGCGTTTCCGAACGATGCATGCTCATCGGTGATGATGCAGGGAGCTTCTCTTGATGCAACTACTCCAGTAGTTGGCAATCGGATGCCGCATGCAAGCGAACAAACTTTGGGTGGTGGAAGCTTCTCCTACACACCAACGAAGGTAGATATGGTGGTGCAGTGTGCGAGGGTGCAACACAGGCTCTCCTTGCCTCCATCGGAGGTGGAGGAGTTCCCTCATTTCATGCACCCTGGTAACTTTCTGGAAACCAGTAATCAAGTAGATACATTCCCACTGGTTAATAGCACTGACATGTGGGTTGGAACTAATCCCCATTTCGATGAGTTATCATCTCTCTTGGAGCTCGATAGAGGAGATGATGAACGCGGTACTCGGTTCTTTCAGCGAACTGACTGTGTAAGTTCAGGCAACTTTGGGGAGCCTACGAAGCTTATCGAGATAAGTGATCTGGAAGAGGAGTTCAAGGAAGAGACGAATGAAGTGGAGAACCTACGAGCTTTCGCAACCTTGCACCGTTGTGGATCGACAGAGGTAGGAGGAACTTAATTTCCAGCTGAAGCTACGTACGTTATCTTGGTCTTCTTCACCTTAAGATCGGTCTTGTTTGTTTCACAGATGGATGAGAGTCGTGCACTTCTTGATGGCATCGACGCCAAGCCCATCTTCTCGCAGTCCCAACCAGATGAGTTCGCTGTTGGTTTCGTGGACATCGATCATGAGACAGACATGTTTGCTGCAACTACTCCTGAGTTTGATGCCTGCAACAAGGTGGAATTCAACCATGGCCTGTTCGTGTCGCATGCAGGGAAGACCAAGACGTTCTTCCACCATGTGGAGCCCTCCAAAAAGGTCAGCTTCCATTTGAATCCAACAGGAAGACAAGACGCTGTCGCTGAGACATCTGAGCTCGCCACCAAAGCAGGAGGTCGATTCTCGTTCTTCAGCAGGTTCAAGGCGTTCGTAAGAGACAAGCTCATGGGGAAAAGCTCCCTCTTACGCAATGGAAGAAGAGTGAATGAAATGCTAGAGATTGTTGCAGTCCTGCGCACGTCCTGCGCTTATCTGGGAGACGCATCAGAGCAAACCATTTCAAGGAGACAAGCCATGAAAGAGGAAAGAGAGACTGCCTACTCCATCATGAACATGAAGAAGAAGAAGAAGAAGAAGGCAAAGGAGACATGGAAATGTAGGGGGAGTGTGCAAGAGAGCAACATATGGTTTCCAGATGTCAGCATGCGAGGCATTTCCAGAATGTTTTTGCGTGGAAAACTGCCCTTTCTAGCATTTGCTTCGGGAGTCAACCACTGACTCTTGTCAGATCATAACCTTAGAACTTGGATATATTCATCGGTTACTTGTAACATGTAGAAAGATACTGATTCATGTTGCTTTGAATGCTAATGTATCTTAGTGAAATTGAAACTGTAACATGAATACTATGTTGATATTAAGAGTTCAGAGATTCTTGGTCGTCGACTCGGTCCACTGCGACTCCAATCCGTGCTCTGTTCTTTCTCTCGGACGGCAGGCGAGCGAAGTGACACGTTCGCCGTCGCATGGCCCTCACGCGTGCTCGCTGCCGTGGAACGCCACGCCACGCCACGCGTCCTGTTCTACGTCCTGCACGAGCAAGCACAAACGGGCTTCCCTCCGTCCGTGTAAACGTGAGTGCATGGCGGAGAGCGACCGTGTCGAGGACAGGGCGTCCAACGGCTCGTGCGGCTGTGCCGTGTCGTCCACGGGCGGCGACGTCTGCAGGTGATTTCACGCACTGCATCACCCTCTCGTCTCCGCGAGAGGGGTCGTACGTTGTTCGTCTAATTATCCCTTCGATCGGGACGTGGGCAGGTACGCTTCGGTGGCTGTGGCGACGGGGAGCCACTCGCTGCGCCCGTGCGAGGAGCACTGCAGCTGCAACCCCTGCGGGTGCGGGAGAGCGGGCTGCACGTGTGGGCCGAGTTGTACGTGCATTGCGTGTGGGACCGCCGCTTGAGGTCGAAACAGGTGGCTCGTTGCATCAGTTAAATGTTGGCTTTAAAGCTCTGTGCTGCACTGTAAGATGGAATAAAATGATGCAATGTTTCTTAATACTTGATGTTAATGTTCTATTGATTGGTCGGTAAAACATTGAATTATCAATTCAAGAACATGTCTAAATATAGATGTTAACTATAATGATAGATCTTCGAAGAATGCAATATATCATATATAATAGAACTAAAATATAAATAGAGAACATAATTATCTATATACAACTCTCCCATCTTGGCCCGGTTCGGACCGGGCCGGCCCAGAAATATTAGGCCGATGGAACACGCGTGCGTGCTATAAAATGGGAATTAGGGTTCGTGTTCCCCCTCACGGGCAGAAAGAAGCGGCTAATCGACTCCTTTGCTCTCGATCAATCGCCGCCGAAGAGCGCACCATCGTGGGAGCCATGTATGGGTCGAGAGGGTAAGCCTAGAAACCCCAGCTATAATGCTTTTTTGGAGGCAAGATTCGTGCTTTTGCCTTCCGGTAGATGTTTCCTTCTTTTTCTTGCTCGCTTTTCGGAGGCTTCTCCTGTGTTTCTTGAAATATTTGGGTTTTGGCATTGATTGAAATCGATTTGAGTGCGAAATCCTTTCTTTTATTCGTTTTCTTGAAGACCTTGGCTGAGGCCCCCGTGAGGGCTTTGCTTACCTTCCTTTGATCTGATGTTGTTGAGACACTTGGATTTGAGTTTCTCTATATTGAGTCACTTCAAATGGAAAAGATAGAAACTTGAGCAAATTCGCGTCGGAATCATTTGATTGGTGTCAGAGCGATCTCGCTTATCGAACTTCTCAATATATGTGCTATTATAATCTAGTCATGTGCTAGTAGTATAAAGGAATATGCCTACATGGTTGTGGCTATTACATAAAGAAGGAAGAACATGTAACTTCATTTATTTTTTTTTTATGATTGAAATGTTATTTTACTCAATGATAATCATAGACTGGGTTGCATAATCAAATCAGTTTAGATGCATAATAATGACTGAATATACATGGTACAAGCAAATGTGAAGGATGGAAATTGATATAATCTTGAGCTTGGATTTATTTTTCTTTAAGAGAAAATAGTTTCCTTTGTATGTTTCCTTTTTTTTTTTTCCTTTTTTTGGTTTCTTTTAGTCAGAGGAGGGTGTAAAGGGAGTCTAATCTACAAATATTAGTGTGGGAGTTATTTTAGATTGACAGTTTCTAAGTCATTCAAGATCTTGTGATTCTAGACATATTGAAAACATGTGAGGAGAGTACTCATAAATATTGCTTTATTTGCATGTCTCACTGAATATAACTCGTAACAAAGCATCTTTAATTATTTTTCGGATGTAGGAGGTGATATCTACTAAAAGCACTTGCACTCTGGGAAGAAAATGCCTGGGGCTTCAATTTGGCTAAAATTCACTACAGTTATTAGTAAAATTTGCTCCAGTGGTCAGATAGGCATCTTAAAAAAATTTGTGTGGGGGGATTTGTGGTTGGTGGCTTTTGTATGTGTTCTCTTATTTTCATTGTGTGCTAGCTTGCGGTTTACATTAATTTAATGCCGAATACATGAACTAATTCATCCAACTGATTTATCTTATTGTTATCCGATGACCTGTTGTTTCTCGTTCATTAATCATTTTAATTTCCATTAGTAAATTCTGTTTGATAGATAAGGCATGATTGCCAAGTTTCTCTCAATATTCAAATAGAAATATTCATTCTAAGGACCAAATTGTTGTTCTCTAACTGCCCTAGCGGTTTCTGTTTTCTTAGTTTCTCTAGATTGTAAAAGCTTCCGAGTAATTTGACCCCTCATTTTTAAGTGATGTGTGTGTGTGTTTGTGTTTTTTTGCTCTTTTTGTTTTTATTTGCATGTGATTTGTTTCCCTTGGATTACTAGCACGTAGAAGCACATCAATTCTTAACCTTTAGAGATTTTTTATATAACGGCTAGAAAAATTATAAATGCATAAATTATGGTTTAGATTTTAATGTTATGATACAAGAATAAAGTTAAATATAAGCTGGGTAAGGCCTTAATAAATGTGGGGATTGAGCGACGGGGGTGTTTTCTCCTTGGGTTGTTGAATTATGTGAAGGGCAATGTTGGGGAGCGGGGGGGGTTCGGACGGGTACGATGGGACAAAGAGGCCAAGAATGATGGAATCAAATCCCTACTTCGCAGTGAGCAGCGGCTTTGCTATGGATGGATACGAGGTTGGCTCAAAGAGGTCAAGATTGATGGATTCAAGTCCCTATTTCTCGGTGGGAGGTATTGGCAGCTCCTACCAGTCTTTTGGTAGCAGTTTCAATGGAGGATTTGGCAGCATGCACTCCTTCCCAGTGGTCCGACTGAGAGGCCTTCCGTTCAACTGTGATGACCTGGACATCATCAAGTTCTTTATGGGTCTGGATATTGTGGATTGTCTGCTTGTTAACAAGAGTGGGCGTTTCTCTGGAGATGCATTCGTTGTCTTTTCATCACCCATGCAGGCTGAGTTTGCCCTGCAAAGGGATAGGCAGAACATGGGCCGCAGGTACATCGAAGTCTTCCGGTGCAGCAAACAAGACTATTACCGTGCAGTTGCTACGGAGGTTAACAGTGGTGGCTGGGCCTTTGAGGATGAGTATCACCAAGATGCCCCACCTGTCCGTGTGAAGAAATCATACGAGGACAAGGACAAGATGGAGTACACTGAAGTCCTAAAGCTTCGTGGTCTTCCTTACTCTGTTACCAAGTCTGATATAGTCGACTTCTTCGAGGAATTTGAGCTGAGCGAGGACAAAGTACACATTGCTTATCGCCTGGATGGGAAAGCCACAGGTGAGGCATTGGTGGAGTTCCCATCCGTGGAGGTGGCAAAGAAGGCTATGTGCAAGGACAAGATGACGATCGGCTCAAGGTACGTCGAGCTTTTCCCTTCGACACCCGACGAGGCAAGGAAGGCTGAATCTAGGTCCAGAGAATTGAATCAATAAACATGGGTAATGTTAGAGCTGGATTTTTCGTTCTCACTTTTTTTTTTTCCTTCTGGGGTCATTGGTTCTTCCTTTGTCTGTATTGGGTATTAGCTTCAGTGATATGCTTTATTCTCGGTACTGAAACTTGTATCATGAAGCTGATGACACACTGCACATCATAGAAGTGTACAATATTTGTTAATGGCCTTGGAAAGCAGGAACCACCGGTGCATCAGAGCACACCCCCCACTTCGTCCCATGTGTGCTAGGTAGGTACACTTGCATGTGTTCTTGATGACATATAGATTAGCTGTACTACGTGAATCTCTCTTTTGGTGAAGTTTATGGTAAACCACTTGCTGCTTGTTTTGTTGTCTATCTCCTGAGTTCATCCTATGTTGTTCCATCTCCTTTTTGTGATCCAAGTGTCTGGCGTCACGAGGCTTGTATCAGACGGTGCATATCAAGCACTGTAGCTGTCGGATCAGTAAACATCATCGATGCCATATCGTCCACAGAGCATGGCATTTCCGAACACCTCACAAGAGCACACGCCATGATAGCACTGAATTCACTGGAAAGAAATGATGCAACAGGGTACATCTAACGACGTACAGTAACCATCTCGCTTTGACTCAAACATCCTCTATCATATCTGATTCGGCATGCAGTCTTTTCTCTCTCTCTCTCTCTCTCCTTATCAAGAGTTGTAATAACAAAGATAGCTTATCATGCCATTTTCTAGAGTACCCAGTGTCAGAAACAAACTGACCAATTATTCATCCATCTTTTGAACTTTTGATCGACTACAATTGTTCCACGTGGTACTGAAAGACATGCTCCTTCCAGTTGCTATTTTCGATATACCTCTCGTAGAAGCTAACCTCGCCGCTTGTTTTAACCGATAATGCACCCATGTTTCGCGTTCCGTAAAGTCCCTGTGATGGTGTCAAAACATTGGAATGACTGAATCAAATGCTCTGAGTGCAGTAACAAAGCAGTATATCTGGTTTCTTACCTGCTCTCTGTGTGTCTCTATGAAGATTGAGCTGACTTCCAACTCCCACTCAGGACTGCAGCCAGTCATTGGTAACATATTTCTCTCAGCCTTTGTTTTGTCACACATCAGCTTTTTGACAATGTCCTTCATGCAGAGTTCCTCATCCCTGCAACTCGCTAGTGCTTCGCTGAAACCCTTGCGCAATCTTTCTGCCTGCAAAGAAAACAAAATGATTGGTACAAATGTTGGTTTTGATGTCGAGCGAGTTATTCAGGTGATTTAGAATCACTAACTTCAACAAATAGTATGCCAATTTTTTTAAGAAAGAAGACTGATTGCATAATTTTCAGTAGTAAGGTCACATGTGAAAACCACAGGTGTTAGCTGATCGATTGTGATAAATATAAGATGGCATTCCAAAAGCTTTGCATAATCAACTTATTGTGAACTCAATCATTCAAATTTGACATACCATTGCAGAAAGCAAAGGTGGACATAACTGCTGCGAGAAACTCGCAACTTGTTAACCCCAAAAACAGTATCCCATTGACAACATACCTTTACTTTTACAACTAGAGATCTAGAAAAGAAATTCCCCTTCATGAAGAATGAACCAGAGAATGGTTTGCCTTCATTTTTGTTAACATGATGCTTTTACCAGCTTTCATTTCTTTTACAGATTAATGGTTTGGACCTTCTGGCTTCTACTACATGGAATCCTCAGGACCCCAAATAAAATTTCAGATATCCTATTGAAAATTGAAAGATAGAAAGTTGCACAAGTTATCCTGGGCCTGAACAATTGATGAAAGTTGTATACAGTCGACTGATGAGTAAAGAACCAATTAATAACTTTTCTTCATCATTGCATAAATATAATATCATCTTGTGCATCCCTAGAGAAATAAACCTGAAAAAATACCATTGGCTAACTAATAACTTAACATGCAGTAGCGAGATGTTCTCACACAGAAATTAACTTATACTTAATTATCATGCACATTAGGAACCTAGATCGTCGTTGAGGCTAATGCTAATCCCATACTCATCCACCTTCAGAAAGCAAATGAAAAATACCAGAATCAGATGGCCATTTGACACATTGCTGAGACTTGGAAAGCTTCGCGAGTTCGTAATAATAGCTTTTTTAGTTACAAAGTATCTGACAACTAAATTATATTGATATGACTACTATTGTTGTGCCGATGGTACAAGTCAATAAGACTAACATTCTTTGAAATGTATAGAACTATGAAAAGAACACAAAAAACAAGATATATAATAGGTACCGTTCGGCACAATAAAAATAGCATTAAAAAAGGTTCGAAGGAATGGGCATCTGATCAAGGTGACGAGCGTAATCACCATCAATTCAGATTCCCAACAAATGTTCCAGCACGATATGTAATTCAGAGTGTCACATTACTTCACCATATATTTGCTTTATTCCATGTTAAGACAAGCAGGGTAAGAGGAATTTTAATAAAATGCTAGAAAAATGTGCATGGCAACTAATAATACCCTTTCACACTTAACAATGCTCAGCAGAAATGAAATTAAGGAGAACTCCTCTGAGTAGAGGTTTAGCATTTAAGAAATGCTTTTTATAGTTGGGATCCACATTTTAAAGTAAAAAGTATGCTGTTCTTGACATGTTGCGATCTGAACTTACTTGTGAAAGATAAATGAAGAGAACATAAATATATTTTAAGAAAAAAGAATGCTGATTGCAATGACAAATGTTCCAAAACAAATGAATTAATGCACCTCAGTGAAATGCCTACCTTGGGCCAAGGAGAATCTAAATTTGCATTTGAAAGTACATGGATACCAGGGAGAACTTCCAGAAGAGAAACAGGTTTTCCTTTTGGCCTGTTGGAGATATAGAACATGGATTTTGTGCAAAGATCAGCCACTATCAGATTAAAGCCATTATATTGATCAGCTTCCTTGACTATTTCCTCTGCAAACTCTGAAGGGCATTTTGTGCTCTATGCCAAAGGAACAGAAGGGAAAATTTTTGAGTGAGCCTAAAAGCACAGGGAAAGGTTACTGTTCAATGGTTACAGAAAGATCTAAAATTGACCGTAAGAAGATTCACTGTACAAGAACACGATATCAGTAGAAAAAAATTATGAAATGCATACGATGCAAAAATAAACGTAAAAACACAATAGACACTTTTGTTAGAAAGGATTTTAAGGAACGTGTTGTACAGATAAAAGGAGTTTGTGATAGAAACTTAGTAGTAAAATTTTGTATCAGAACAAGAGATATTGAGTGTAAAGTGTGCATGCCACCTCAAACGGGATTAGAGGATCAGTCAAAAAGAAATTGCAAAGAAAATTAAGACAGAATTATCCAAGAAAATATTTGTTAATGAAAACTTAACATTCAATTATCTGGGTTAGCTCTTCAAATGAAGTTTTGAACTTTGGATTGCTTCAAAGATTGACTGGAGTGCATCTTTTGCTCTTAAAAACATTCAAGTTGACTAACTAGTTAAACCTTACTTCAAAATATTGGAATGAATCACCGAGCCTATGAATGTATTGTGCTGCAGCTACTTTCATACTATTTGAAGAAGTTCTGGCTGTAACCTAAAAGAGCTTCCTCAGAGTAAGGCTTGGCATACTGTCTTGTATGAGACACCAAAATTGTGATAAATAATGCAAGCTTCTGTTGCAAACTTCGAAAATTCAAGGGGTTATCAGGTGCATTTGGTTGGTATAGAATTTTCTTGCTGATTTTGGATAATAGCATTACCATGGCTACCAATTGTATACATCGAGGACAATGGTCTCTTTGATGTCAATATGATCCTATTCCTTCTCGAAACCCCAAAGGGTCTCAGGCAGTTATTCTCCTAGAATTTCCTACTTGGGCTCACAAAAGATACATCTTGTGGTCTTCAACTGCTTCATCTTGAAGAAACATTAAAATTTTCAAATGCTCAAGACATCATTTGGCCCTTCATTCCCTCGATATACAAAATACGTACATATAAGTATAAATTTCCACACCCATCATGCTCTGACAGATGGAAGGCTCCCGTGAAGATGCATGCCAGAACAGATGCAGGATATGATATGCATCCCTATTTGCCATACTAGAGAGGAGCCAAACCCACCCTAAGAGGATGAAACATCAGAACTATTCGAGTACGTTATTAAAAGGATGATCTCATGAAGATTTTTCTGGAGCTTCCTCTGTTTAGCATCTAAAACCTTTGTTTATGTTTGCATATTGTACACAGATAAATCAGCCAATATGCTCTTAGAACCAACAGTTCGATTTTGGCATTAGCAATAATGTAAATTATCGAAAAATTTAAATCTCGAGACGTAATCAGTTAAAACAGAATGTTCATCCACATTTGAAGTGATTACCACATACCCAAGGAAACCAAAAGGCAGGACCTTTGGATGGAGAGAAACTGAACTATGGATCAGTGATATAACCAATTGTGACAAAACCCTAGATCAGAAAACTAAAAGATATTAAGCAGGAGTAATAGGCTTTGATTGGAACCATTACAGAAATGTGAAGTACCTCCAAGAACCTCTTTGGCAATTCTCCCCTCGACCTCGAACCGGACCAAGGGTCAGGCTCCCTAAAGTTCGTCAGAAAGGCCACCTTTCCATCCCTGGTGCATCCCATCCATGTACCCCCTCCCAGTTCATCTCTCCCCCCCAATATCGTCTGACCGTCACCGTCCCTCCACCACCCCACTGGTTTTGTAGGCCTGTCATCATGTTCGATCAAACCAATCACAATCATGTCATCAAATTTCCGGCGAAATTCCCTCGCAAAGTGAACAATCGAAGCCAACAACCAATGAAAAGATACATTTTATGCAAAGAAAGAGAGAATCGAGATTGCGATCGGCATGCCTGTCATGGAATTCGTCTCTGTTGAGGAGGAGGAGGAGTTGGTAGGTAGGATGAGATTGCCACGCCCATGCAGCTATGCACATGCTCGCGGCCACAACCCTTCCCCCCCACCCGACCACGCCTCACTTCAATCCCCAAATCCCAGTAGATACGGGGGAGCAAATGACCGGCATGGACATTCATCATCGGCTTGCTTGGACTCTTTAGCAGCGTACGCGTGTCTTGATGAAGTGCCCCTTGAAAGTCAACGCGATACACAGTACCGTTGACCGAGGCGATCCCTCTCCTATGAGATTGTTGCAAGGTATAATTATATCGATTCTTTAGTCAAAGACGAAATAATAGTTTT